ACGGAAAGAAATAAAACTCTAAAGATGAAATTTGTATAAAGTTGTACGGGAATGTTTCCTCTATCGAATGACACAAGTCCGAACAAAATCCGTCAAGAAATGACTTCAAAACTTAGATTTTAGTCGTAATACAAAAATACATTGAAATTTGTAAGAAGTGCCTAATTACCCCGCACATATACATTAAGTGCAATTTTACCCCAAATGGGGTAATACGGCACCGTGACGAGTAGGTCGCACGAAAACTAGCGTGGAAACGTAACCCGATGAGATTTTTGAAAACGAAAAACACAGATCGATAGAAAAATGTTTTTTCTACAATGTTTGTACCGCATGTTTTTTTGTATCTTCAAAATTAAAAGAGATATAAGCTTCGAAAGTCAAAATTTCAAAATCGTGTGCCTTTTTACCCCATCGTACTCTATTTCGAAGAAAATTTCCTAAACTTGATACTAATGCAATTCATTCCTAATTTATTTTAAACGATAACTGTAACAGAATATATTTTTCTGTGCATTGTGAATATGTTATCACATTGAATTGATGCGTGTATATACCCACTGAAACATAGTATCAACATTATTCTTTTATGTTACTCAATGTATCAACAAGATTCTAATGAATGTTGCTTCAATTTTCATTAAAAAAATTTCTTAAAATGCCGACTATTATTTTATCCAATAAACAGATGTTTTTTTTTCTACACTAAATATGAAAAATAGGAAATAATCAGTTAGATTTGTCTGAAAATAATTTTTGATGAGACACTAAAAATGATGATAACCTATGTAATTCATTAGGATATTATTGAAATTTCAATCAATATGACTCTTTAAGAATGATAAGTATCGAAACTTGAAAAAATTTCATTTGTAATGAGCTTTTCAAGGCGTTGATCTGAATCTCTGATGGATCCATAGAAATGAAAAGATTCCATTTCTTGTCGAGCTCTCTACTCTTCGTCAAGTGGCTTTCAGAAGATGCGATCTGAAGCGCCGATACCCATCGAAGGACCTACCTCAAGAAACTTCGAGGATATCGAAATTTTCGAATGTAAAAAAAAAATTGTCAGCTAGATGTTTCATCTCCGAGCTGTCAATATTCATCAAGTAAGTGAGAAAGAACAATATTCAGACATGAGTATTTACAATTAATGAACTTCCATCGAGTATCTAAACTTAGTATGTACTATTCTTCTTCTATGAAAATCATCATTCCATCTATATTAGAAAATACTCAGATAATCGTTTTTGTTTTTTAAAATATTCTTTCTTAATTAGGAAATTATTTTTTTACACAATAAAGTAACATTTTAAAACAGTTTTAATTAGTTTAAAAGCTTTTTAAAATCCAAAATTTTACTGCAAGAACTTGTTTAATAATGAACTAAAAATTCTATATTATTATGTCTTAATCAGGAATGCGAGTTGATTTCTGTCATGATTTCAATTAGTAAATGACGAATATTTTCCTAAAATAAACATGAAAGTATATCTAACATAAATAACTTCAGTAATACCAATGAATAGCAACAAAGAATCTCTCAAAAGGTAGACTTTTCAGAAGTTTTGTGTATTCAAAATTATATCGAGCAGTCAAAGCCAGTTTTTCGATAGGCTTCGTTTCAGCGAATTTATAAAATTTCGATGAGTTCTGAACGCTTGAAATTATATTGAGCCATAAAAAGTTTTTTTTTTCTATAGATTTGTCCTTTTTGTGTGACCGAAAGTTCCATGGATTTTGAGGGCTCGATATTTGTACAGAACAAGTAAAAATCTTCTATTTCTATCTTTCGACTACTCATAGCGCGCATCGTATGTTTTTCAAGATCTACTTCGGTCAGTTCGAAAGAATATTTCAGAAAATTGATCGAAAGTCCTTTGTAAAGAGCAACAAATCTTGAAGAAGAATTCAGTTTTATAAATACACCCACATACACACCCACTCCCTCCAAAGTCGGAAAGCGTTTAGAAAAAAGGGCCAAAATTCGGAATTTTCCGAATAATTCGGAGGATCTGGCAATCCTGAGAGTAAAATATAATGAATAATAATGAATGTTGTTAGAGTGCTCTCTAACAGATGAATAGAAACGGGTAAAGAAAGACGAAAAATTAAAGTAGCAACAATTTTTTTTCACAAAATTTTTTAACAAATATCATATGAGGGTGTGGGTGCAATAAAGACCTAGCTCTCATTCACATGCATGCTCAAAACTAAACAGCAACACACCAGATACAGCCCACGCCCATATCTACAGCCACACTTAGATCCGATCCGCACGTCGACATTCATCCCGAAACACTTCAGACTAAGAGTGTAGCAAATCTTAAGTTCTGGGATTTGATATTATTTGGTTTGGTTTTGAGACAAGATTTGAATTCTGTTTGGGTATGAATTTGGATTTGGTTTCAAATGACTGGCATCTCAAAGGATTTGGTAACATAAGGTAACACAACAATAATCAACTTTACTAGAGAAGCAGCACAACAAGGAAAAGATTTTGTAATTTGGCACGTAATCCTTCCTATTTGGATTTTGTATTGGACAAAAATAATATAAATAGTTTGCCTTTTGATAATGGTCGCTAAATTGCAAATTGTTTGTGTGGATTTGGTCGAAAAGCAAATCCATGCTTCAAATCCAAACCAAATTCCAAGGTCATCGATCATAAATCTTAAATGTATTCTAGATTTGTTGCACCCTTATTCCAGACCCAAATCGATACTCTTCGTTAACAAGAGGGTGTGGGTGCGGGTGTGAGTGTGGCTCTTATCTTCACACCCACACCCACACCTGCCAGATGGATCACAGGATATGCCGGGATGATTCCAGATAAGGTTTCTAGCAATCCAGTTGTTTTCTGAGGCACCTGCAATGCACTGCCAATTTATTCTGTTGATGTCTACAAACTTTAGAGGCGACCAATTGTTGAATTAAAATAATACGAAGTTAATGTTAATATCTCCGCATTAATTAAACTCTGATAGCACGAATGCTAAAGGACTAGCGTTGACTGATAATGGCAATGGAGAAGTTCTAGCCTTATTTTTAATTTAATGCTAACATGATATCCGAACTAAGGAATCCAAGCATTTCAAGGATTCTCTTTTATTTGGGACATTTTAGCTTGCTCCGAAAGGTAAGTAATTGAGGGATCTATGGATACTAAGAGTTCCTTCGTACTTGGTACAGTGTTGAACTGCAGGGAAGCTAAGAATTCCAAGGATTGTCTAGTGCTTTGAACAGTCAGAAGTTGTCGGAAACCAAAGGAAAACCAGGATTTCAAGAATTTGAAGGATTGAATTGCATTTTGTTCGGGTAACATTAATGTTAAAATCAAGGATTTCCAGAGAACTATTGTTTTAACAGATGTTGGCGTGTTCTAGAGATCACCAGAAACCTGAAAAAAACCAAGTTCCTTGTTCACTTTGATTCATTTTCAGTCAATGGGATATATCGAAATTTTTCAAGGTTTCCAAGCTTTCGAAATCCTTGCATAGAAACAGCCTGGAATGATACTGGGTTTAGTCAGATGATATGTCGTTTATGACATAGTATGTAAATATTACTAGAATTTTCAAGAAAATTAAGAATTCCTTGGCATTTTCGGTGTTGGAGACTGTTTTCGAAGCAACCATGTCCAGAATTCGAAGGTTTCTTATGCATTTTGGAAGTGGTGATTTCAATGCGAGAAACAAGGATTTCCACAGAACCTACGATTTTCTAGATGTTGAACAGTGTGAGGCAATCTCAGAAACATCTAAATATGAAGTTTCTTAATGATTTTGAGTTATTTTTAATGAATAGGATATATCGAAATTTTTCAAGGTTTCCAAGGTTTCGAAATCCTTGCATAGAAACGGCGTGGGATCATACTGGGTTTGGTCAGATACATGTATTTTGTTTATAATTAGAGTACATTTTATTATAATTTTCGAAAAGGATTTCAAGAATTACGGCGTCACTTCTTTCTGTAGGATGACTGTGATGTTGACAATATAAAAGAATTTTTTTTGATTTCGGAGTCCTTTACCTATTGGATTCGATATTGAATTTTTGTACTCGATCATTTCCCGCATCGACGACATAGAGATTGCCGTCTCGATCGAATGACAAACCGATGGGCACATTGAGTTGGTTCGATTGTTTTCCTTGACCGTTTCCACCAACAATGACACTTCCCTGTGTGGCTTCTTTGGACCAACGCATGATTCGATCATTCCCTGCATCAGCCACATAGACAGTGCCCAATTGATCGACAACGACTCCTTGAGGATCTGAGAATTGTGTAAGACCATTTCCATATCCTTGACCACCAGCCACAACAATGCCTTGTTTTGCACCTTCCCTCCATTTCATCACACGATTATTTCGCCAATCAGACACATATACTGAATGATCTCGATCGACGAATACGTATTGTGACTCATTGAGTTGATCGCGACGATTTCCTCTTCCATTGCCACCTGCAACCACTATTCCTTGAGATTCTCCTCTTCGATATCGTCTCACTTCATCATTTTCAGCGTCAGCGACATAGAGTAATCCATTCTCATCCATTGCCAAACCCCTACAAACGATCTTGGAGATGATTGTTTCTCCACTTGTTCCATTTTGACGAAGCCATCGAACCACTCTTCTGTTCCACCAATCGGAGATGATGAGACTATCTCTCTCTTTGTCGACAATCACATCTAGTGGGTAAGACAATTGATGATCTCCACTTCCTTTTCCATTTCCACCTGCAACCACTTGGCCACTCGTTGCACCCCATTTCCATTCCACAATACGGTGATTCGATTCATCAGCAACATAGATTATTTGATCATCATCAACATACAAACCATATGGGAATGAGAGTTGATTGATTCCATTGCCTTGTCGATTTCCTCCAGCTACAGTGATACCATTCTGTTGCCATCGAGCATTTGGATGAATGTCAATGGAACTTCCACGTAATGGATGGACTGAAATAGAGAGAAAGGAGAAGATAAAAATTATTAGAATCTTGTTTAATCGATCAAATTCTTAACTTTGTCAACAAGAAATTGTTTTGCTTTTTTTTAAATATTTTGTTAAATTCAAAATTATTCATTGAAAGAAAAAATAATCTAACGAGAGAGAGAGAGATGCACTAAGTTTGCATCATTTCACGCCTACTTCATTGATAAAAATCATGAATATGTCAGCTGTTTTGATGAAATGTATGATTACAATAGATATTTTCAGGTGTATCCAGTGTTGGCGATTAGTAATGAGTTAAATTTTTGCATTACTACATAAGTTTACAATAAAATTCTTGTACCGTTTTTTTAATCTGTTCCAACTAAGTAGTAGTCGTTGTATCTAAAGATAACAATATAATGATCATGCTCTTTTTATTGGAAGAGAAAATACCAGACATATTTTGAGACGTGGCCTCAAGGGGGAAAAAGCGGATCCTGAATCCTCGGATCCTGTAGATCCTAATGGATCCTCGTGGATCCTGATAAAACCTGATGAATTGTAGAATAAATTATTTGAAGTGTGCCAAAGCGAAGGTGAAAAGATCTGAGCCTAGTATATACAAGGGTGCATTAGTGTCCAAAGAAAGCACATTAAAACCTCTCTATATAAGCACCTCCTTATTCTCAACTGTAATCGTTTTTTTCAGTTCTATGAGTAACAACAATCCCCTATAATGTGAGCAATGCGTGTTCTACCGTTCACGTGCAAAACGAGGAAGAAAACTCCACTGTGCGTGTTACATTGTAATGAACAATCAAATAACATATAAGGATAAGATGGATTAACCATTCGTATTAAGAAAAAAAAAGTTTTTAAGTCAAAATAATTATTAATGAAACATCTTGAGATTCAAAATTTCTGCTTAATGCACTATTTATAGCTATTTTAGGAAAGATCGATTTTTGTCATAAAAAGAAGTTATCGTTTAAGAAGAATAAATAATTATTTGAATGAAAAAATTATTGAACAAAAAAAAGAAAAAGGTCACTTTATATCATGAAGAGACGATTGTAGATGAATCCCCACCGTTTGAAAACAATACATTCGAAAGCCTCTCAATAGTGAGCACCTCCGTAAACTGAGCACTTTTTTCAGTCTCAATGTGGTACTCAGATTAGAGAGGTTTTACTGTAAATGAAGAAGAAAAAAACAAAAGAAAAAAATGACTTCAGAATTTGTAACTAAGAAGAACAAGCATGTCCCAGACACTGAAATGCTTTTGTGTCTCCATATCTTTTTGCATATCATGTTGAGTTATGCACATTTTTATAATCCATTAGAATCTATGCTTCCTCCATCATCCTCGTAATATTCTGATGCGTAATGGTGGTTTCTACTATATTATACTTGTCTCTAATATTTTGTAATGGATTTTATTAAGTAGTAGTAGTAGTTGGTTGCGAAAAGTTATGACAACTTTGGTACATTTTCGCTAAATCTGTTATAATTATAATCTATTAAAACTCATGGAACCAGCAGGATCCGCTTTTTTCTTCAATTGGCCTCAGTATACCAGAACTCAAGTCAAGTTGATACTCTAGTCTCAATTATGTCTTCTTTTGAATGTCTAAAAGGATCTGTTAGCATCCTGAATCTGAAGATTCTTATCATGTTTTCTTCAAAACTCTGTTTTGAGTTTTACTATCATCAGTTTGCAGGATACTTGATTGTGAAAGAGGAACTTTCTGAGGATCTTTTCAAGTTTCTGCTGAGGTTTTTTTGATTATTTGAAAATGAAGAATCCTACTTCGGTTCACTCTCAGTCTTATTCAAGATCTTGACATAAACAAAATAGAAAGAATTTTGCTTAGGTTTTATTAGCTTTTCTAGGATCTATTCGAAATCTTTTAATTATGATCGTTTCCAATTTACACTTAGATCAGACGAGAATCTTACAAAGAATAACAAAAGAGTAGTAAGAACACTTAACTGATGAATACTACCAAGGTTTAATCAAGATCCTATCTCTTTTTTTTTTATGTGATCTTCTTATGAAAATCTCTTCTAACCGTTTCCAGTATTCCATTCAGATCTCTTCAAGGACAAACATGTAGGAACCTTCCTAGAAAAAGTCACGAGAAGTCAGAATCCTTCTGAGAATTTATCATGGCTCAACGAACATCTTTATAATTTTCATTTGGCATTTGTTCAATGCTTGATTTTGAGCAATCTAAGAAGATTTATGATTGACCTGTTTTAGTCTTAAAAAAATGACAAAAAGTTTTCATCAAAATTTTAAGCAGTTTATGCTAAAGGTCCTTTGAAGATTTTTGAACCTTTGAATTCCAATAAGTTCTACCATATGTTAAGTAAAATATCGACAGCTACGAACAGAAATACTACTGAAGATTTCATCATGCTTTTTGTTTTAATTCTGACAGAAACTCAAGAATTCAAGAACATGCCTGAATCCTATTCTGACACTCATTTGCATCGCTATAAAAGTGAATTGACGAATTCGGATAAAAGTTTAGAAGATTTTGCTTCAAATGTTTTAAACATTTATATTGACTACGGCATGACATTCACTGCATGCAACCCATTTATCTGTTGGATTTTGTTGTCATATAAAACTTGAAAGCTCATTAAAATGGAGATTTTAATATCAATTTAACTGTTATACTAACTTTTCTTTTAAAAGGACTTTAGTAAGAGACGAGTTTCGCAATGAAAATTTTCACTAAATTTCGTTCATTCGTGTTAAAAAATTTTAAAATATTATTTTTTTCATTCAAACTGAAATCAATACGTGATAGTTAAATTTCATGATACATAATCAATGTATTAATTTTAATCTTTAATTTTTCGAATGTTGCTTAGCATAATGTGTGTATACAGAGTTCAAACAGATGTTAATAATTCAAAGACAATTTAAAATATCGATGGTTTAAGTGCAATTAATTGATTTGGCACAGTCTACTTAGGTAAACTAATCGATTGTAAACCGAAGACCTACAGATCAATACTCGGTGAGTTCATTTCTTCTCTTTTCTGCCTCGAAAGACTTGCAAAGATTCCGCCAAGAAATCGAATAATATCAGTAAAAAAATCTTAATGAAGTCCTGCGAGATGCAATCACAAAAAAATATTTTTTTCAATTAGATATTATGGAAATGCTAACAAAATCCTAACATAAAATTAACAAAAAAGAGCCTAGAATGCGTTTAAAATCTTGTTTTAATAGTAGCAAAATCTGTGTTACCATCGTATCTGCGCATTTCTCTAAGGATGTACTGCTTTCTTAAAATAACCCCTGTGTAAAAATTCTTGGTACAAAATTTTTGTTCGATTTTCGACCACTTATAGATTGCAGAAAAGACTCAAAAGTAGTCAGCTAGAAAGAGAATTTCTTGTCCTTTCTAAATATATATTCAGAATTTTATTCTGACTTGAACTTAATTCACTAAGAGCAGATATTTAATGGGGACCATAAACGACATTTGTACAGAATATTCCATGCAGTCCATTTTTGTATTTGAGTTAAAAGTTCTTCAGTTCAAATTGAACGAAACAGATTTTATACACCAGTTTGCAGAATGAAGCTTGCTCTACAAAGTGCTCAATTTACTTTGCTTCGAACATATCATTGCAAACCATTAAGATTTCATGCATGTCAAACAGTGCAATACGGAATAAACGATTATTTTGAAAAATGTTATTTCATAGAAAGAGTAGCATTCAGAAAAATATTTGTAACTTTTGATCCTTTTGAGTTCTAGTTTATTGTATGTCATAGTTTCGAAGAATATGTAATTCTCTACAACAATATGAAGTAAAAATTATCCCATAATACTTTTAGCGAAATTACGAACGAGAGGAAAAAAAAGCGCGTTTTAGATGTTGCAAACGACATTTTCATTTATTCAGATATTTGCCTACAGTTGACCAGATAAGAATCAAACCAAAATTCTAAAAATATATTTAGAAAGACCATCGAATTCTGTTTCTAACCGACTACTTTAGATTCTTTTTGATTATATTTACATGATCGAAAAAGCAGCAAACATATTTATCATTACCCTTGAAACTAGTGTTTTGTACAAATGTCGTTTTCGGTCCCTATCAAATATTTGCTGCTAATGAATCAAGTTCAAGTCAGAATAAAATTCTGAATATATATTTAGAAAGGACAAGAAATTGTCGTTCTAGCTGACTACTTTTGAGTCTTTTCTGCAATCTATAAGTGGTCGAAAATCGAACAAAAATTTTGTACCAAGAATTTTTACACCGGGGTTATTCCTTATTAAAATTGTTTTGATAAACTGCTCAGAGCCCAGTGAAAATCCTGTTTTAAATCTTGTTCAAATTATGGAATTCTGTGGATACACGACTTTTTCAAGGTCTCGCATCGTCTTGAATGATTTTCAGTTGAAAAACAGTACTAAACTATTCAAGATCTTGATTGAATTCCGATTCAACTTGTCTCAACTTCTTAAAATTTTATCAAGACATTTTTTTCATGATTGTCTTGTTCCCTTAGAAAAAAAACGGTGAATCTGTGCAGGATCCTTGTCAGATATGGCAGAGAACTATTCAAAAACATTAGATATTTGCCATAAGAAAAATTCATTATTATTCATTAGACTCTATTCAGGTCCAAAAGACATCAGCACAAACCACTAACGAGGGAACATTCCCAAGTGTCACATCGCTTTTAAGTCAAGCATACGCGCACTATGTAGATCCTAGCGATCTATGAATTCTCTGAAAAAAGTTCGTGCCGCTAGGTTATTATTGCTGAGATACTGCCTTTTTACTGTATGTTTAAGAAAAAAGAGCTGTGGTCCCCCTCAGGGAAACTTGAAAAACTGAATTTCGAATTTTGACTTCAAACTTTGTATAGATATAGATCTCAATGAGAATAGTTTATTGTGAAAGTTTCAGCTCTTTTCCCTGTTTCTATCCCAAAATACAATTATCTTAAAATTGCTTCTATACACCGACAGATCCAATGTTCCTATCTCGGACTAGGAGCAACCAAAAAATCTAAAAGCTTCACAATAAACTATTCTCACTGAGGCCTATCTATATGCAAAGTTTCAGGTGGAAACTCAAAACTCACTTTTCCTGATGTTCCTGAGGGGGACCACGGCTTTTTCCAAAACATATAGTAAAAATGTTGTATCTCAGCAGCAAGAGGCTAGCGGCACGAACTCTTTTCAGAGAATTCATAGCTCATTAGAGCCTACATAATGCTCAAATGCTCAACTCAAAAGCGATGTGACACTTGGGAATGTTCCCTCGTCAGTGCGCATCTCGTTATATGAAAATATTGTTAAGAAAGTATTGATTATATTTATGTTATATGTACATAGACAAGGCTAAAGATAAAATTCTATGAGAATTCTAGAATATTAGAAGAGAGCCACGCAAGCGGGAAAAAGCGGTGCCTGGTGGATCCTAGGATCCATCAGCATAGGTTAATGTTCTGAATATTCATAAAATCCAAGAAAATGAACGAGACTCATAAAATAAGGATATATAATCCAAAATATGTTCTACATGTGTCAAAGTGATCTTCATGTACTAGTTTTGCAACTCTGAATAAACTTATTCACAAAGGAAAGAGAGTGAGTTCTCATGTATCTCAGGATCTACTGGAATTCACGTGGATCGAATAGAATCTTTGAAAACTAAGTGAAATGACACAGAATTGATCGTGAAATTTCTGGCAAGTGAGGTAAAAGAAATCCTGGAGATTGAAATCCAGATGAGTGACGATGAAGTTTGATATATCTTGATAGATTTTTCAGCTTATACGATCTAATAGAATCCGTCAATATTCCACT